GCTCAGAATTGTCTTTTGTGAATGGATTTTTTCACTCCGCGTCATGGTCTTTTTGCGATTGAATTTTTCACTCCCACCCTAGTTCAAAAGCGATTCTAGGCTCCCTGGTTTTCATGTACCGTGCTCTTTTTGGCCACGCGATAGCGTCACCGGAGGCGCGCGCCAGCAACATACTTTGCAAACGTTGTCAGTTTGCTAGTGTGACCCAGATTTTGAAGTTCCAAAGTTGTCGCCAACTGAGTATGGGGGTACTGGCTCGGCACGATATTGCATCGCAGGCATCACATCTTCCACGGAAGCTTCTGGTTGCCTGTGCGCCAGCCATGATTGCCATAATAAGGAGCCACTTTACCTAGAATTTTGAGAAAAATTGGTGCGAGGCACTGCAATACAGCACTGCGATTTGAAATCTTTGTCCACGATGTCCTGATTTTTTTTTGCTTACGTGACGACGCTTTGAAGGACCAGAACCGCTACGTCGGGCGAGTGCACCACTGTAATAGTGACTTCCTGGATCCTGTAACATAATAGTTCGTCTGGATAGTATTAGATTGTGGGAAAGTATGTCCATGCCTTGATGCCTTTGGAATGTAAATTGCTGCATAACCTGACGTCACATGTTTCTATGGATATGTTCGTCTGTGTGTCTTGATGTGGAACTCCCTTTCATGCGACTTGTCACAACAAAAGCTCTCCCTGCACACGTGCTTCGAGCAAAGCTGTATCCCTGCTTGCAACCACCCGCGCTAAAACTCATTCCATGCGTAACAAGCATATGGACGACCTCAATATACATGCACGATGATGTTAGCTGGCATAAGGCTTAAGTTACCAATGCCTGCTGACTTTGGGTGTCCCGTGGGATGATCGATTGCATGGGGTTAAGCTCGCGCAACGCTTGAAATAATGTACATCGTTTCGAGCCGGGGGCGATGATCTGCCTTTCTCTTGCCTATGAATTTCCCGTTGATGCATCCGTCATGGTATAGACAAGCTGTTTGTGTATAATGCATCTGAAGTAGTTGTGCATTTGTACATTGAGTGCATGTTGACTGCCCTACTCGTCAGTATCATCTCTGCTGCGCGTCAAATGTGGTAATTGGGAACAGCTGATTTACTGCCACCATGCGGAGGAGTTACTTATGGCGTTCTCCATGACGTAGAAGACGTAGCTCTGGGACACCATAAGTTGTTTCCCTAAGGGCGGAGTCCTGGCAGCATTTCCCACATCAAAGACGGTGCTCTGCCAGATGTGCAACTGAGCTGTTTGCTGCCTATGTTATCCTGAAAGGAAGGCCCCTGGCTGTTCCGTGCGTATATCACGGAATAATGAATAGTATAATAATATATATCGGTATAGAGTAGATAGAGAGAGAGAGAAGATAGAGAGAGAGAGAGAGAGATAGGAGAGAGAGAGAGAGAGAGAAGAGAGAGAGAGAGAGTAGAGAGAGAGAGGAGAGAGAGAGATAGAGAGAAGAGAGATCTCCCTCTATCATATATATATATATATATATATATACTATATATAATATATATATTATATATAGTATATATGATATCTATATATATATATATATATATATCTATATCTATATCTATATATATATATATAAATATATATAATATGCCATGTACAGTGGTATGGAACAAATATTATCATTGATAAGAAGGCTTTTTTCCGA